CCCCCCCCCCCCCCCCCCCTTTGGTGCCAATTAGCAAACATCCAGCATGAGTGTTGGTTCCTGATTCCTTATCAGCTGGAGGTAAATAGAAGTTTCCTCTCTGGCGCCAGGATGTCTGCAGAATGCAGACCTGCCTCTGATCTGCTCTGAAACTGACATGTCTCTTTCTCTCTCATCCCCCACCCCCTCCCCTCCACTCCTATTCAGACTGCAGGTGTGGGATCACAACACTTGGTTTTCTCCAAGGAAGAAAAGAGCAGAGAGACCTTGACTTGAAAAGGATCAGACTTTAACCCCATGCATTCCAATAATGGAGGGACCTCAGCCTTTATCTTCAAGATATTGTGTCTGGAGCATATGGCACAAGGCATTGGATGCTTGGTTGGTTTTTTAGTAACTGTTTCCACTTCCCACTCTGCTTCTCTTGCCTGAAAATAAAACTCAACAGGCCAGGAAAGAAGACTTGATTCCGCCCCTCCATCCCCCAACTAAGTGGATCTGATTGAACATTTGAATTTAACCGCCTCATTGCACAAGAGCAAGAAAAACTGGGGACTTCAGACTTATCTGCACTGTAAGATCTGTGTTAGCAAAATCCCGTGTGTTAGGCTGGTTCCCCAGTCATTATATAGATCTCTTTAAAAATGTGGCTGGCTATAAATGAGACCACAACATGCTTTTAAAACAGACTTGCAGAGATGCAGTTGTATGTATATTTTGGATTATAGTGTGACTTTTTTTTTTTTAAATCAAAGGGGGCTGGGTAGGGGGTAATGCGAACAAGAACTTCAAAACAGCTGTTCTGGGGCTGTTGCCTCATGTTTATTGTTGAACTCTATAATAGAGTATAATGTTTGTACCTTTTTGCAGGAAGGTGGATTTCTGCAATCATGCATTGTACTTGCTTTATAAACTTTTTATAAAAGTTAAAAGTTTTTACATAATAAAATTAAGTTTGTTTTTTAATAGTTCTTCCTTCCCTTTCCTCAAAATTCTGACACTTGCATTGGTGGCTAGTTCCCTGAAACTTGAAACTAGCTTTGGGGAGCAAAATAACTTTACAAAAAGCAAATTGCAATACAGAGTCTTCATGGCCATATTGTGTTCTGCCCATTTCACAATGCCTGGGAGAGGAATAATGCAAGAGTTAATGACTTGAATCAAGTTGAACTTGCAGTTCAAAAATATACTCAGGGTGGGGAACCTCAGTCCTGGATTGCCTAGAGCCAGCCCCAAAAGCTTCGCATGGGGGAAGTCTGTGATGGCATTCCAGCCACCCATCTGCAGCGTTGGACCCACACCATTTATGCCTTTCATGCATGCGTTTCTCTTCAGAAGCTTCTCATTTGTGAGGTCCCTGACTTTTTTTTTTTTCTTCCTCCTGTGGGTCAGTGGCCCTGACCCAAAAGGTTCCAACCCTTAAATGTTCTTAATGGTACTATTTTCCTGTGTCTCCTAGAAAGAATCAACCCTGTTACTTTAGCCTTTCTCCTGCAGAACAGGGTTGAGTGAGCACCATGTCAAAGTCTCTGGTCATCTGAAGAAGTGGATTATTCCCACAAAAGCTCATGATACTATCCACATATTTTGTTAGTCTTTAAAGCACTTCTTTTCTGAGTTAATGGTAACAAATATTTCCTACTGTTTTCATTTTGGTGGTGTGATGTGGCTAATTCTTTTTCTCCCCTCTGGTGCTAGTATAATGGCTAATGGTATCCACAATGTCACAGAAAAGGACTTGTAGGACCCCCAAGATATGTTGCTTGTCAGTCATGGCAAAGGTGTGCAAAAGATAACTGCTGGACATGCCTTAAACTTGTCTGACCTAATGTGCCAGCCTGGTTCTGGATTTGGGTCTGAAGTGCTAACAAGGGCTTGGTGAAACTATTTAAAAGCATAAAGATGATGGGTAGTACTGTCAGTTTCTGGCAAGTCCTATGTCGGGTTTGGCCTACAGCTCACCCTGTTAGCCTACAGCATGCTTCAGGGCTTTCTCTGCCTCCTTTTCCTTGGCAACAGTTGGTGACTTGACACACAGGCAGCCGGGCATACAAATAGACCTGAGCGCAGCCACAAGATGCATGGTATAGGAAGCCAGTTCCATTAATGGAACCCTCCTCTGGTAGTGGTTTGTTTGTCATGGTGATTAGCAGGCTACAGCCTGGTGGTTGGGGTATGATTTCCCAGCTGCTGCCAAGACAAGGAACCAGGATGAATCTGATCCAGTAGGGGTGTAGTATCTCTCAAACAAGGTGTTAACAAGGCAGTCCATTCCCATGCCACTGGGACTATCTGCTGCTACATTATTTCCTGCTGTAGGTGGTTTTTGCTTTTGCTAGGGATGTAGATAGGGTCATTCTTCCACATGTACCATCTCAAGGGGGGAAAATTCTAGCATGCTGAAGTATAGGTGCTATAAGTCTTCTCTAGGCAGAAGAGTCACTGCATGGGAGGGGGTGGTGGTAAATGTGCTGCTTGCTGGTGCTCTGGACCCTGTCTTCTCCAGTTTTTATTGAAGACACAGTGGGCTTGTGGTAGATTGGCCCTAGCCCTTTCAAGTCAGCAGGATACAAGGTTAATTCTGTGTTGGATGTTCCTGGATCATCATCAGGCTGTTTCCAACTAAAACTGAATCCGGTACCTCATGCTCCTGCAGTCTTCCAAGGATCTTAGCCCTGGGACAAGGTCAGTAATATCGTGTCCAAGTTACAGAGATGACTTATCCAAGAGCATGGAGCAAGTGCCAGAGCTGGCTAAAGGACCCAGCAGCTCTTAGGTACCTAACAGACTTGCCTGTAGCTGTGAATAGAACCCAGGGGTTCGGACTTCAAATCTTACCTGTTCTCAACCCTAGACCCCTTTCCCCAGTTATGACTAGACCCCAGCAGCCTGCTCTTGCATATCCTGCTCTAATGAGTGGGCAGCATTTCCTTCTTTTACAAAACTACTCAGTGTCAGCATGCTCTCCTGTGCTCTACAGAGGAGGTGCTAGTTCCCCAGCAAACTTTGGCAGTTTTCTGTTAGCCTTGAGCAGAAGTGACTTAGCGAAGCTCACCTTGCAAATCAACATAGGTAGGGTGCCCAATAGCACATGCCAACTGTGCAGTCACTTGAATGCATCCACAGCTGTGCTGTAACTGGATCTCTGATTCAAAGTTGAGTGATGGGCCTGTCAGTGCGTGAACACGCTGCTTGATTGGAGTGCTGATCACCAAAGGCCTATGTGGTTGCATAGTTCCACCCTGTCCTTGATCTACCAGCCAAAGCTCCTCTATACTCTTATGTTCATGCTGCTGTGAGCAGGGATGTAAAATCCCCATTCAATTAGTTAACTGGTTAAACATTAAGTTTAAATGGGGCTTGGTGGGTCTGCCTGCGTGGTTAACATCCTTAGCTGTGAGAATGAATCCTCTAGTTGCCCTCTATTCCTGATGGGAGAGTTCTGTTTACTGCTGTTCCTTGCTTCCTGAGGTCAGTGTAGCGCAGTGGCCATGGTGACCTTAGCTAGTGGGGTGGAGGTTTTGGGTTGAGAATGCAGCCAGGAAGCAGCACAGGTTGGAGAAGACAGTATGGCTCAGAGGGGAAGGGCTGAGGTGGCCTGCGGGTTGTGTGTGCATGTAGGCTGTGAAATCTTTTGCCTTTCAATCAATAGTTGAAGCACAGCCTAGCCTGGAATTGTTTGGTGTATGTGAAATGAATGTGCGATCCCTCCCAGTTCCCTGTTGGTGTGTACAGGAGTTAGCACCACAAAGCCCTACAGGTGGCTGGAGTCTCTGCTTGTTGCTGTAATATGAATAGTAGTTGTGTTGGATCAAGGGGGAAGGAATTCCTATGGTTCCTCACCAAAAATGCCCTGCTGTCAGACATCCCTCCTACCCCACAATTAACCCAGGTCAAGGGTTACCAGCTTGCCTGCCTGCCTCAGAAGCTGTGGAATCAAACCTAGCAGGAGCTGGTTGGTCTCAGAAAAGACCAAACCATTCAGGGCATGGTAAATGGAGAGCTTACTTACCCCTTCCTGACCACAGCCCATGTGCATGTATGGACTTACTTCCTCAGGCCTGGTGTAATTCCACTGAAGTCAGGGTGATGCAGTAGGTAGGGGATTAATTTTGGATGCTATCTTTGACTTTGCCACTAATCTGCTGGCCTTGTCCCTTCCCACCTCAGTCTGCCCATCTATAATATGGGTACAATTATACTTCCCTCCCTAAAGAAAGCATATTGCAATCCTCTGAGGAAAAGAGGATGAGTTTAGCATCATGACTGGAAACACAAGATCTGTTTTCTAGGAGATGCTGTTTAAGTTGACCCTTTCCATCACTTCACAGTCTAGGAAAGAGACTGAACTTGAAACCAGGAGCATTCAATGAAGGAAAACGCTCTGTGTGCACGTGCGTGTGTGTGCATGCACACATAAAAATACGGTCTTGCAGAAATCTGAGGAAAGCGTAAATGCAAGCCCTCAAGGTCACTGGTGAAGGGGCTCCTTCATGAGCCATTAAGAACTTAAGAACGACCGTACTGGGTCAGACCAAAGGTCCATCCAGCCCAGTACCTTGTCGGCCAACAGTGGCCAATGCCAGGTATCCCAGAGGGAGTGAATCAAACAGGTAACGATCAAGCGATCTCTTTCCTGCCATCCATCTCCACCCTCTCTCCTGCCATCAATCTCCACCCTCTGACAAACAGAGGCTAGGAACACCGTTCCTTAACCATGCTGGCTAATAGCCATTTATGGACTTAACCTCCATGAATTTATCTATTTCTCTTTTAAACTCTATTATAGTCCTAGCCTTCACAACCTCCTCAGGCAAGGAGTTCCACAGATTGACAATGCGCTGTGTGAAGAAGAACTTCCTTGTATTTGTTTTAAACCTGCTGCCCGTTAGTTTCATTTGGTGGCCCCTAGTTCTTATATTATGGGAACAAGTAAATAACTTTTCCTTATTCACTTTCTCCACACCGCTCATAATTTTATAGACCTCTATCATACCTCCCCTTAGTCTCCTCTTTTCTAAGCTGAAAAGTCCCAGTCGCTTTAATCTCTCCTCATATGGGATCTGTTCCAAACCCCTAATCATTTTAGTTGCCCTTCTCTGAACCTTTTCTAATACCAGTATATATCTTTTTTGAGATGAGGAGACCACTCAGTATTTCAGAAGTGGGCATACTATGGATTTATATAAGGGCAATAAGATATTCGCTGTCTTATTCTCTAACCCTTTTTTAATGATTCCTAACATCCTGTTTGCTTTTTTGACTGCCGCTGCGCACTGCGTGGATGTCTTCAGAGAACTATCCACGATGACGCCAAGATCTCTTTCCTGATTCGTTGTAGCTAAATTAGCCCCCATCATATTATATGTATAGTTGGAGATATTTTTTCCAATATGCATTACTTTACATTTATCCACATTGTCACTTTAGTCTCCAGTGGGCTGCATGGATTTCCCGCAGTCATACCAGAGGCCGAGTGAGATGAGCTCCAGGGTAAAAAATTAGAACTAGCTCTGTCACTTAGGGCTGTGAAAACTTGAACCCCCCCGTCTGCTGCAGTTAGGTTGAGCTAATCCCCAGTGAAGAAGCGGCAAGGTGAACAGCAGAATTCTTCCCTTGATCTGCCTGCTGTCCCTCAGAAAGGTGGAATAATTTCAATAGCAAACCCTTGACTGTGAACGTAGGGTCCGCCTATGCTATGGTGCTGCAGTGACGAGCTCTAAGACTGCAGCGACTGGATCCATCC